GTGTGGGTACCAAACCCGCTCTGCACTCTATCAAGTGTGATGCCCAGCAGCCAGGAGCCGGCAGAGCTGGGCACAAAACCAGAGGGCCTGGAGGTCTAACCGCTGCCCGGAGCCAATGCAGCATCCTTCCCCAGGGCCACAGCTCACCGGGAAGGGACCCCTCAGCTGTGGCCAGCATGGCCTCAGGGACTGTAATTCTGACATGCAGCAGAGGCTGCACTCCTGGGTGTAAGGCTGGGTTACAGGATTGTGTGCAGAGATCTGTGGCAAACATGACGCTGTGGACGGCTCCTGTGATCTATGCAAGACAGCACTGTCGGCAGGCTGCGGTAGCCGAGCATGCTGACCTTACAGAGCTATTCCAGAGGCCTGGTCCTGGTTCTGTTCTGTAGCGGTGGCAATGAAGTTTAATAAAAGCCTGCACAGCCTCATTGCAAATGGAGAGCTCTGTGCAGATTATTACATATTACCAGCGTTTCTTGCAGGTCTGTAATGTCAGCCCTTTCCCATTTATGGGGCTAAAGCTGGCTTCAGGCCCCTCTCTTTCTTCCCAGCCCAAAGAGAAAAGCCAAAGTTGCTTTGGGATATGACAGACACGACAGGACATGTAAAATGTGGCGAAGGCGGTGCTCAGTGTCAAACTGACTGCTTGCTGTGCACTGGCTTTGGTTTGAACGCGTGCTCAGAGGAGGGGAGGCAGCCTTTGGAGGCTGATTTCACCCACGTACACCTGGAAGACCCTCAGTCACTAGCAGACACATGGCTACAAGGGCTGTGATGTATGAACGATCGATCTGGGGACCGTGCGTGGGTCCCCATCATCTTCCTCAAGGAGGCTGAAGGATGACTGTACTCCCCACAAAAAGCAATTGCTATCCAGTGAGCAGATAGGTTTTGGAAACAAGATTTCTCCCCAGTATCAATGGGTTGTGTCGTGCGGGGGAAGCTCACTTCGGCTGTGTTTTAGAAGATGCAGTCTCTGAGGCTGCCTGCCTGACACCTTTCAACAGTATTAGTTTCACATCAAAAGAAAAAACATTCTCCTCTCTGCACATCCCAGAGGTGACAACCATCTGGAGAATGGTTAATTATTTGTTACAACAAAAAGACCCATCAGTACAGTGATGGGAGGCTACAGCTTCTCTATAAAAATTACAGCCACTAGCATGGCAGAAAGAAAAACGAGACCCACTAGCTGCAGATGATAACCCACACAGGTCTTTTAGTTCTTACATCAAGGAGTCCAGGCTCTTCCTTTCTAATCTCACATCTTAAAAGTTGTCTGTGCCCTCTCCTATAGCCCTTGACGTGGGACGAGGGAGGGGCTGCCAGTATCATAATACCTCTTGTTTGAAGAGAAGGGGCGGACGATGGGGATGAGTGGCACGGTGCGAATTAGCAGCGCTTGGGGGACGAGGGAGGAAGAAGCACCTTTCCTGGTTTATTCAGGGCTCCAGCCCCTGCAGTACGGTTCTTGGGGTTACCTGCATTTTCCAGAAGTCGCTCTGGGTGAAAAAGGGCACGAAGCCTTCGGTCTGTTCAGCCAGCACAGCCACCACGTACACCAGGAGCAAACTGGTCACCACCTTCTTTGAAACCATGACGAGAGTCTGAACGACACAGGAAAGAAGATACCAGGGTGATAGTGGAGAGCACCATTTGACAAGAAATCCCTTTGGCTTTTCATCAGCTGCAATCTCATTTATCCACCAGCTAACTAGAGGTATATTTACTCTTCCAGTTGCTCCTGAGCTGAGAATAGAAGTGTCTTGACTGACAATTCTCCTCTCAAACCTCTTTCTGTAAACAGATTTGTTCTTGAGCAATATCTCCAGAGGATTCAAGCCCAGCCCTTCAGGACTGTTAAAGACTCCCTCTGTTCTGCAAGCTTTAGCCCTCCAGCTGTACTGGTTCAAGACCCGCACGCATCCGGAGCAAAACGCTCCCATCAATCCCACTGACAGCAAGGAAGACAGAGTGATGCTGTAAGAGAGAAAAACCTTAAGACAGCTGTTTTGTTAAATTTTGTTTTCATATTCCTCACTCCCGAAAGCCTGCCTTGATGGACTGAATCTTTTAATAAGCCTCATTGGGTCCAAGAGAGCTGGGAAGGGCATTTGCCAGCCCGGCTCCATCGGAGCCTAGTATAAAGGGCTTTAAAAACTACCTTCTGAAGTGATTTAACAGCGACTTCACGTCAGAAGAGGACTTACGTAAACATTAAATGTTCTCTTTAAATATTAAAATATTCTCTCTGGACGAATTTAATGAAGTCTGGTCCCACAGCTTAACTACTCTACCTGATTGGAGCCTGATCCTTAATTAGTTTCAGAAACCTCTTGGTTTGGATGTTATTGAAAAGACATTGTTAGGTCAAATTTGACCCCTAAATTAGATTTCCCATAAGTATCAGCTAGTATTGAACCGAAGGCCAGTGGAAGTTAATAAATATTCCCTTTCCGTAGCACTTGCCAGTCACATCCCTCCGCTGCGTGCCAGGCCGGGGCAGGGCTGACGGCCAGCGAAGGCGGCGGTGGCCCCTCTCCTCTCCCTTGGTGCTGCAGCGGTGCCATCCCTCCCTGCCCACCCTCGCTGGGTCACCGGAGCCGTCGGCTGCCCTGGGACATCGCCCTGCCTGACCCAGCCAGACGTACCCTTTGCTGCAGGGATCAGAAGAGGATTTCTCAGGCTCTCCTCTTGTAATACAGCGTGTTGATATGCATAAGTGCTGATAACACGGTGTTATCTCAGTAGCATCAATCTTTTGTGCCTTTTCATTTATTCTATCACCGCAATAAAATACTGCCGTATACAAAGAAATAAACCCAGTCACCTCCTTCATCTCTTATTGACTATCCCTTTGTGCATTGATCCGCTCCCTCTTCCCCTGGAGAAACACCCCCACACATTACTCCAGTCAAAAAACGTCTTTTCTGAATGCCTCTTCCTTATTTTGTAAGCAGGACGTGTCTTTCAGACCTGAGATCTCTAGCTCAATGCCTCTCCAGGCAGACATGTACTTTGTTGTTAGTGAATTGGCTTCCCAGCTACAAAGAGAAAGCACAAAGCAGGAGGATCCCGAGTTCAGCATCAGCCCAACAAAGAAGTACTGCGTTCGCATGGGGCCGGGCGCAGCATTGCCCAGCGCTGCTTATGCCTGCGTAAAATGGGGTGAAATGCCAATTTTGGGGGCAGGAGGGGTGAACATCCACCTGGCACTGGTGTGAGCACAGTGACAAGACAGTACGTTTATCTACCGAGCTGTCTTCCAAAAAAATCAAACCGGTGCTGTCAATAGGAACTGCCTGTGACTCATTTTCTGTCTGTTCAAAGCAGCTCCCTGAGTGCAGAGGGCACCCAGGGCTGCCTGCGCCTCTGCAACACGCTTCAGCGTCTGCTGGGTGCTCACAACAAGCAGGGAGGCAGGAGCTGGCGGAATCGATGCTCCCACCATGGGGGATGAGCAGAAAACACCTCTCCCCTTGTTTAAGCATCGATTTTGTTTCCTCCTTCTTGTCGGAGCCCTCTCTGCTGCAGCCAACACGTGCTGGTAACACCGGCGCCTATCTGAGCACCCACGAAGAGCCCGCTCCACCCGGCTTGCAAATGGGAGCAGAGAGCAAGCCCCTGCCTGGCGAGCGCAGCCGCGGGCTGCTGGCGGTCAGACCTCCTCCTGCTGCCTTTCCCACCCCTTATACACCTGCAGAGGCTCCGACGCGCAATCCGTACCTGCGCAGGTGCCCACGCTTCCAGCAGAGCTGGCAAACCTGGCGTGCATGGGAGCGGATTTGCCGGAGAGGAACCGTTGTGATCTGCATTGGATCGTGAAGAAGAGCTTCTCATTTGCAGGAGGATCCCCTTTCCTCCCTCCCCAGGCTTCTGCCCTTAGGCCGGCAGCTGTGCTCGGCGGTCCCACCGCTGGACAGGGGATCTCTCTGCCTCAGTTTCCCCATCTTTAAGATAGAGAAATTCCTCTCTCCCAGTTTGTCTTTTTAGATCGTGAGCCCTCCAGGATGAAGTGTGTTTGATGTGAGGGTACCAGCGGTAAAATGATGCCTAGATCTTAATTATATTTCTACTGTAACATGGACAAATCACAATAATAACAATGTTGCCACAAAATAAACGCAACGCAGAATGACGTTTGACCCACCAGCATTACAAAAAGCATAGATTTAAGGTAATAAATCCCCCGGCAGGCTCTAGAGCTAAATATTAAAATAATAAATAAAACTATACATGCTAAATCTATCACCAAAGAGCTTTATAAAGTGAGCAGACAAGTGGGGAGATATCAAAGCAGTCCGGGGGATTTATCTGTCCATTTTGAGTCTTCGTGTGGCCCCTTTTACCATCATAACTGGGCATCTCGCAGTCCTGGACACACGGGACCCCCCCGGAGACACAAAACTCTGTGCTAGCGTCTCTCTCCAGACAAACGAGGTGCAGAGAGAGCAAGCGACTTGCGTAAGACCTCATCTTTGGTCTCCCAAGACTATCAGACAGGCTCTGATGCTGGAGGGTTTGGGATCAGGCCAGAAACGTCCTGGTGCTTCTCACAGACGGGTGGCTACGTGCGAGGAAACCTGAGAGCAGCCAGCCGAAAGCAGGCGAGACGCAAGAGGAGAAAAGCGAGTTGGGGACGCAATGAAATCCTCCTGCATCAAATGGCTTTGCAGGGTGTCGTAGCAGGGGCGTGCAGCGGCATTCCCGCCTGGCTGGTTGAAAACGGAGCACGGGAGGATTTGCTGGAGACGGGGGAAAAGAGCTGTTGCCCAAGCCTGTAAAATGACTTCTCTCACCTAGCTCCATCGCAGCTAGTCGATACGACAGGCAGGCGCTGCACTGCACGCTGGTCCTCACAAGGGACTTGCTGCTGTCACCACAGTCAGCGACGCTCGATTCGGGCCAAACCCCTCCTTAAAAAACGAGGCGGTCACCACGATGCTCCCCAGATCCCCGGGTGGTTCCTGCAGCTTCCCACCAGAGCCAGCGACGTGGTCCTGGCTATAAAACTGCCAGAGGGCACCCTGGTTTTTCTCCCCGGGACCTCGCGTATGTGTGTTGATGAAAAGGGCATTACACGACAGGTTATTTTTCCCCCCTCCCTTTGCTAAAGACTCTGTGCGAAGCCCGTTTGACACTGGTTCTCATTTTAATTGACTTTTCCAGTATTTTTTGCATGGTTATGATGGATGCAGCTGACGAGTCAGCAGATGGTGTTGGGAAGTGACAAATTAATTACCAAGAAAGGTCACTTTTTCAAAGCACTAAACTTTCCCATGTCTTCTCCCCTTTTACCTCAAAAATGTGGCTGGCTGGCAGGTTTCCCATCCATCTGCCATGAAGCTTTCTGCATTGGAAAGGACAACCTTTAAAATAAAAAGGGAAGACAAAAATCAATCATATCTGTATTAGTTGGATGCTGTCTGTCAGGTTCTCCTCTTAATTATGCAAGAGTACTCAAAAAGAAAAGGCAACGGAGAGCTGAAAATCAGGGGCCTGACTCCAAGACTTCTTCAGCGGAGCACCAGCGTGGGTGGGAGCAACAGGCACCTTTTAGCTCTAGGTTTGCCCGGTCCCTAAAAGCAGCTTTTGGCCATTGCCAATGCAGAATGACGATAAATGCAAATAAAAATCACAGCTGGAAATCTCACTCCCTAGCATTATAATGCAAAAAATCTGTCCTGCTGCAGTCCCTGTAACCATTTGCAATCTGCAGGCCCCCTGAAACTCTCCTTGTTTTATGAAGCAACATTGCAGCAGAGGTTAGAAGCTGAACAAAAATATGATGTACAAAATGGAGTTGCTTGCAGTTCTGCTCATACCTAAAGTTAAACGTTTGCCATAATTGGGAGTAATTTTCAGCAGAAACTGGCAGTGGTAGTGAAGTCCATTAAGCCGTGCATCAATTGCGATGTCAGGGAATCAAGGGAAAATGAGCTCCCTGTGCCAGTGACACTGAGCATTTGTCTCCATGTCCTGTACTTTTCCCTCCAAGTCGCTCTGCGCTCGGGGTATTTTGGCAAGCGGGTTGCATAAAAAACAGGAGATAGAAGCCAATGTGGATCTGAAGCTGAATTTCAGCCCTAGGCTAACGCAGCGGGCGGAGAGCGCGAGGGGAGAGCGTGAAGGATGAAACCCCGCTCCGCCTGACTCTTGGTCAGGCATTGGGGTGTCCCCAGCAAAGCTTCCCGTTTCGGGGTGAGCCTCAGAGCCATAGCACCAGCCCTGACAGCCACGGTGGGCCAAATCACCCTCGCTTCCCATACCCGGCCACCTCCTTGGACGGGGCTGGCACACACGAGAAGGGAGGATGTGGCTTTCTGCATGTCCAGTTTGCTCTCACAGCCCCACAGCAGCCATCGGGCTTGGCAAAGCTGGGTCCCCCAGCCCCAGTTCCCCTTCCCGATGCCGACGGGAATATCTGTCTCACCCCGCTCACAGGAAATTATTTTTGCTTGGAGTCAGATGGGTCAAAAACATGGCGCATGCTCTGCTGAATGGAAGGTCTGCACTCACACAGCTGAAGCCGACATGGGTAAGGAGCTCATTTTAGACTCCCTGCTTTGGAAGGAGGAGCAGAAAGCTCTTTCTCACAGCCCAGGCTCCATCCTCCAGCTGCTGTCTCTGCATGGACACGTTACAGATTTAGCAGGCGCTGCTGCCTGTGGCTGCCGAACACTCCTAATAAATAAAGCGCCAGTGGCAAATTTTAATGCAGTTTTCAAAATATTAACGCCAAATAAATATTTGAAGAATCACAGGCTTAAAACACACGTTAATTTGCAGCATAAATATTTTAAGGGCGCAGGCTTCCCCCTCCCGACCCCACGCTTGCCTGGCGCCCGCTTCAGTTTCTCCCCACTGCTCGCGGTGTAATTCACGGTAATTCACGGCTGCGCGGCCGGGCTGGGCGAGAATCAATAGCAAGGATTTAACTCCTGCTGATTCCCAAAAACAGTTCACCCTCCTGGTTCTAGCAGCAAATAATGATCTCTTAGATTAATGGGGAATTTGCCTCGCGTTGTTTCTCCCTCCTCCCACCCTGCCCGCTTTCTGCAGCCGAGCCAGAGACCAGAGGCGCTCCTTGCTGACAGCAGCGAGCTGCGGCTGAGGTGCCGGTCGGACACGGGGAAGGCGGCGAAGGTCTGGATGTGCAGCAGCGGGCAGGGAGCGTCCCACCGCTCGCCTTGCAGCGGCGGCGATCTCAGTTTTACCTGCAAATGCGATGCTCTGTAGCTCCTCACCACCGACATTTCCAAGAGACCCCAGAGGGAGCCGCAGCTTGGCAGCAGTCCTGTCTCCAGGGGTCACGCCGATTTACGTCCTCAGCAGCTCGCTGAGCTCCTCCGGTCTGCAACGCACCTGCAAGAGCTTCCCACAGGCGTTTAAAGCCTGACAAAGGGGTGCTGCACCCCGTGACGCCGGAGCCTCTCTGGAAAGCAGGCCTGAGGTGACCTGGACGCCCCAAAATCGGGGACACCTGGAACTTCTGCCCGCTGCCTCAGTTTCTCCATGGAAGGACGGAAGGACAAAAAAGCAAGAGGAAAGCCCATGTTTCTGGCCATAGCCTGGACAGATTTAGCTTCTCTACCAGTGGTGGAGGAGACAGGCACTGGTCAAAGTGTCATATCCCATTATAATTGTCTTCCATCGGAATTTAAAAAAAAAAAAAAATTCCCTTTTTTTAATAAAACGTATTTCTGTGCTTATAAAACCTTCCTAGTCTCTCAAACAAGAAAAAAATAAACAAGAGAAAAATCTTTCCTTGCTTTGTGTTTCTTCATTTTTGGTCACTCCTTTGCCATTCCCTCCCTGATCTGGAACAAGCGAAGAGAGAAAGGAGAGGAGGTGAGAAAACAAGACGGGATGCATCTCACCTGTTGCCATTTTGGTTTTCAAATCCAAACCACCGGGTTTTCACTTGAAGGCTCAGGAATATTTGTAGGAACGGTAGAAAACTGCAGTTTCACGCGCGGCGAGGGGCTGCGGCCAGCTGCTCTCCCTTCGCACCCGGCCGCGGGATGCGGCAGACGCAGGGCTTGGCCCGCGGGGCAGCCGATGGGAGGCCCCGGCTGCGCCTGATCATTCAGGGCC